TTGAAAGACGAAACTTACTTTCGCTCTCTCTTCTCACTCCCTCTCCGAAAAGGGTAGCGGGATCAAGTTCTTCCCACTTGGCTTACTTTCTCCCCGCTCTGAATCGCTTTAACCTTTTACTCTCTCAGTTTTCGTTGGCTCAGAGCAAAATTCACAAAACACAGTCAAAAGAAAGTCAGCGAAGAAATAAGAAAGAGATGAACCCTACGACGCCGTTTCGTCGCTAATCAGTTGAACTATTTTAGGCTTTACTTTCGCGTTTGATTTTCAGATTTAACGGCTTGATTAGAATTTAAATAAGGTAAATTAAGCCAAGTGCGACTGTCTACATTCCATTCCACGTCATGTCGTTTTAGTACTTCAAACTCTTAATTTGGGCCGCTTTGTATTCGGCCCAATCTTACAACTAACGAGAAGCCCAATACCAAGCCCATTTATACAAATCACTGTTCATCCACATTTAACAACCTTCCAATTTTCTAGCATTACTATAGGAGGAATATTAGGAAATTTGTTATCTTTTTTTTTCCAAAATTATGCGGAATAAATTGTCAAATTAAGATATATTTAAAAAATATATATTAAATATAAATATGAACATTGGATAATTCGCCCAGGCCCAAATTAAGCCCAATCCATCCGAATCCAAAAGCCGTAAAGGGGCCTAGGCCCAACCCCATATGGGGATTCGATTATTTTCCATTTACCATATTAGCCTTCTCTACCTTCCGGTGTTCCACTGTTGACCCTTTCCGTACAACTCAGTGGGGGCAGCCCGTAGTGGGCAGGGCAGCCACTCCATTTTCCGTTTGAAAAACTAATAAATTTCTTTTTTTTAATAAAGAAATAGAATATTTTGCATTTAAAAATAAATAATTGGCCGGAGACGGGATGATTTATGGACTTTTTTATTATTATTATTATATTATTTTATTTTTTTACGCAGGATAAGATTCTTACAGGCATTCCCAGTTGACATGAAAGAGAATAATACTGCATTCGGCTGTCTTTATTTAATTATTCTGTTTTAAGCAGTCATGTCAACCATTAATTGAAATAAATATATACATGCACCCAGTGATATTAAATAATCTGTACATATTAAAAACAAAATTAAAAGTTTTTAAGATTTAAAATGGCATTAAATATTTTTTAAAAATGGAGAGAGCTTCTAGATTTTTATAAGTTTAAAAATTAAATTATAATATTGTCATAAATTATTATGGGTGCTGTAAAGGCCAATAATTTAAATCGAAACCAATCTTCGTCAAAAGAAAAAAAAATAAAAATAGGAACCAATGATATGAGGAAAATATGCTGCGGTGGCCATATGGGACTTCTTTCCACGTGTTCCGAACCCTTTTTCAATTGGTAACGTGGCTCCACGTCATGTCAACCCATTTTTATTTCTCCCAGCCCTAATACTCAATAGTTATAATTAGGATTCTCTTTTTAAAAATAGAAGTAGAATTGATATCAGATTGGAATCTATTATCATTTATCCAAATAAAGAATAATAATCAATTTAAGATTGATTTACAATTAAGTCAACCAGAAATATTATTATAATAATATAATAATATCAAGCAAAAAAGAAAAGGAACATTGCCTTTTAAGTGTAACACAGTAATTCAGATTGTAAAGTAACTATCCATTATTCCTATCTTTCTAGTGTTTCTGTGCATTATTGTATACAGTAAATTTTAATTATTGATTTGAATAAGACATTTTAATTAAGACGTCAATTTTAAATAATAAATTAATTTCATAATTACGGGTAAATAAAAGCTGGTTTGGTATTTTATATACAAATGAAAAGATCTACGTAAGCCCTCAAGATTATTTAAATTTAAAGAAATACCAAACATCCACCTTTGTGAATTGAATATAACGGTTAAAACGGAATATTCAACTCAATAATGACGCGTTAACTGGAATATATTCTTTTTCTTATTTATTTATTTTAATTTAAAAATCTCCAAGTTCGAAAATTCGTATGATTTTAAAATATCAAAATCAGAGCCAACCCAAAGCGAACGCGAGTGCGACACTTTAAGCAAGCAAAAACCTTCCAACTGTTTTCTGCCGGCGAGCACAGTCTTCAACTACCCCTAATTTCTTTTCTTTTTTTTCTATCAATTTTACATTTCTGTCCCTCATCCCACCACGTGTCAGCACGTGAGCTTCGTGCGTGCATTATACCCTCACGAAGTTGCGGGCAACACTAAAAATTCATTTATTTTTATTAAAATAATTGACAACGTTCTCGTCCCACCAAAAATTGTAATTGAGATTAATGTGTTAAAATAATTTACTTAATTCAATTATAATAAAAATAATAATAACTAAATTAATAACCTCTATTAAAAGTTTGGAGATTTTATATAAATAAAAAAAATACACATAAACAAAGTGAGACATAACTCCACTAAAGCGTGGGGCCATTTTTCTTTAAATGTTAATATTTTAAATTTGCAATCTCCATTATTTAATTCATGTCGATTGGATGCAAGACATAGGGTAGGACTAGTCTTCTCATCTTTACTTTCCGAACTAAGTTTTTTATTTATGTAGAATTATGTCAATACTACACCGTCCTATAATTAAAGGACCATCGATTGATTATTGACAAGTGATAGCCACTATGTACTAATCGTATATTTCAACCACATTAAATCAAACAACATTTAAAAAGGTATCTGTGGATGAAGTGTAAAAATAATAATTTAAATAAGAGGATTGAAAAGAATTGGTCCAAATAATATGTTAGTTGGAGAGAGAGGGGGTAAAAAAGAAATGATGAATATAGAAAAAAGTGGGTGGGGGCTGATTTGTTTGATGTGATAAATAAACCCGTTTTCCACCCCCCACCCTGAAAATAATCAAACAATAATGATATCATATTAGGGTGACTAGACATATGTTTCCTCAATTAATGCTATGTGATCCTCTTTCCACGCATTCATATCTACTCCTCGATGGCGACATTTTTTTTTTTTTTTTTTCCACAGAT